TCCCCGCGTCGCTCCCCGCCTTTCCCCCCTCGACTGCTCCACCGTGCACGCCTTGCGTCGAGGGCCGGCTCCGCCGTGCCCCTCACTCCTCCTCGCTTCGCCCTGCTACTGCGCCCCTTCAGACGCTCCACCCGGACCGCGCGGTGAGCGCTACTTTCTTGTGCTTGTCGACGACTACATGCGCTACACCACGGTGTTTCCCCTAGAGCGGAAGGCCGAAGTGCCCGACGTTCTTCTCCCATGGGTTGTGGCTGCGCGTCTTCACCGCGGTCTCCCCGTGTTGTGTCTCCACTCTGACCGAGGCGGCGAGTTCGCCTCTGGTCGGCTTGGCCAGTTCTGTCGTGTGGAGGGCATCACCCAGTCGTACACCTTGCCGGACTCACCACAGCAGAATGGGGTTGCTGAGCACCGCATCGGCTTGTCATGGAGGTTGCTCGTACCTCCATGATTCATGCCGATGCCCTCCATTTTCTGTGGCCGTTCGCTGTTCGCTACGCTGCTCACCAGCTTAACTTGTGGCCGCGCTCCCAGCGGCCGCAGGTTTCGCCGACCCTCCTTTGGACCGGGTCCCCCGGTGACGCGTCTGCGTTCCACGTCTAGGGTTGCCTTGCTCACGTTTGTGCCTCTGGCACGGACAAGCTCACCGCCCGCACTGTCCCGTGTGTCTTCCTCGGTTTCCCCCTGGACTCGTCTGACTGGCTCTTCTACCACCCTCCGTCTCACCGCTTCCTTCACTCTCGTGACGTCACCTTTGACGAGTCTGTCTCCTTCTACCGTCGCTTCCCCCACTGCGGTCCCCCAGTCCCCCCCCCCCTGTTCCTTGCTCCCTCTCCCCCAGTAGCCCCTCCTCCCCTCCCACCTCGTCCTGCCCCGTCTGGTGTCTTCCATGTCACTCCCCTCCCGTCGGTTGTCCCCGTTGAGGAGTCTGCTGACTCTGGTGGTCCCCCTGGTTCCTCCTTGCCGCGTCCCCCTTCCGTGGTGTCTCCGCCCCAGCTGACGCAGCCGCAGCTGCCGCCGCCGCCGTCGCAGCTGCCGCCGCCGCCGTCGCAGCCGCCGCCACCGCCGCCGCTGCCACCATCGCCGCTGCCGTTCTTGGCCTCTGGGGGTGCTGTCGTTGAGGAGGGTGTTCGTCCAGCCGCTCCTGGCGTGGTCTGTCCTGGCGAGCCCGGGGGTGCTGCTGCTGCTGGAGGAGGTTCTCGCTCCGGGGGTGTTGGTTCTGGGGGTGCTGCCGTTGAGTGTTCTCCCGGCAGTCGTCGTGCCCCTGCCGGTCCGCGGGTCGAGACCCAGCCGTCGCAGCAGCCACCGCAGCCGCCGCAACCGGTCTCCGCTCTTCGCCTGCTCGGCCTTCCCTCCCTTGACCGCTCGCCGGTGTCTCCCCCACTGCCTTCTTACCTTCCTGTCTACGGCTTTGTGTTCCTGCCCCCGGACTCTTCTCCGGCCCGTCTTCCTCTTCGTTCCCCTCTTGTTTCCCCTCCGCTGTCTCCTGACCCTACACCTCCGTCCCACGTTTGGTCTCGGCGTCCCTCGCATGCTCCTCCCGTCTCCCCTGTCCTGCACTCCCACCCTATGTTGCTCCGTTCTCACTCGTCTCGTCCTCCCCTCCTCCCCTCGCCCCCTCCCTCGTCGCTTGTTGTTGCACGTCCCCCGCTGTCTGACTACCTCCGTGCCGCTCGTCCCCTTTTACCTCAGGTTCTTGCCTCTCTTGTTACAGACCGGTCTGTTCTTGTCTCGCGCCTTGACGCGCTTGTCACAGCTGTCGCTGACTTTGCCTCTACTCGCCGCCTTGACTACGCTACTGCTCTGGTCTCAGACCCTGCCCGTCCTCCGTCCGTCGGGGGTGCACCTGCCCTTGGCAGTGATGTTCTAGAGGACAGGCAGTACGAGCTTGCTTTCCTTTCCGAGGCCGCTCCCCATCTCTGCTCCATGCTCCTAGTCCCAGAGGGTGACCCAGACGCCTTCGACATCCCGACCCCTCGCACCTACGCTGAGGCCACCTCGGGACCCTGGGCCTCTCAGTGGATAGCTGCCATGGAGCAAGAGATGGCATTTTGGAGGTCCACCGGCACTTACGTCGACGCAATTCCCCCTCTTGGGGTGAACGTAGTTGATGGTCGGTGGCTCTTCAAGGTGAAGCGCCCCCCTGGAGAGCCGCCTATCTTCAAGGCGCGCTACGTGGCTAGAGGCTTCAGCCAGTGCGAGGGGGTGGACTTCTTCCAGACCTTCGTCCCGACCCCAAAGATGACCACTCTTCGAGCGCTGCTACACGTAGCAGCACAGCGCGACTACGAGCTTCACTCCCTCGACTTCTCTACTGCCTTTCTTCAGGGCAGCCTACACGAGCAGGTCTACCTGCGCCGACCACAGGGCTTCACTGGCACCTTCCCCCCTGGGACCCAGTTGCTTCTCAGGCGCCCGATCTACGGCCTTCGTCAGGCTCCCCGCGAGTGGAACGACACGCTGCGTGCCACGCTAGCAGACCTGCAGTTCTTTCCGTCCTCTGCTGACCCCTCGCTTTTTGTGCGTTCCGGCCAGACTCCGTTCTACATCCTTGTCTACGTAGACGACCTGGTCTTCGCTACTCCTAACAGGGACGCACTGGCCCTCCGTGAAGGCCGAGCTGCTGAAGAGACACACCTGCACTGACCTTGGAGAGCTGCGTCGCTACCTTGGCCTGCAGATCTCCAGGGACAGAGCAGCACGCACCTCTACCTGTAGACCATGGGCTCTCCGCTCCAGTTCTTGAGGAGCGAGTAGAGCCCAGCGGCCCCTACGCAGAGCTGGTGGGTTGCCTCATGTACCTGATGACTTGCACTCGACCAGATCTCGCATACCCTCTCAGCATCCTGGCTCGCTTTGTGGCCACCGGCAGACACTGACCACAGCACTGGTCGGCCGCTAAGAGGGTTTTGCGATATCTAGCAAGTACATCGGGCATGGGGTTAGTGCTTGGAGGACGCAGGCCAGTGGTCCTCACTGGGCACACAGACGCTTCTTAGGCAGACGACTCTGAGGCTCTCAGGTCGTCCCAGGGCTACTGCTTTAGCCTTGGTTCAGGTGCTATCTCTTGGAGATCCACTTGCTCGTCGTCTGTTGCATAGTCCAGCTGTGAGGCTGAGATCTACGCCGGTGCCATGGTGGCACAGGAGCTCCGCTGGCTTACCTTCTTGCTCACAGACTTAGGTGAGCGGCCTAGCTCTGCCCCGGTCCTGTACGCTGACAACAGGGCCATGATCCTCCTGTGTCAGGAGCCTCGGCTTGAGGGCAGAGCGAAGCATATCCAGCTGCGGTACTTCCTCCTGCGCGAGCTACAGCAGCGTCGCCAGGCCCGCGTAGTTCACTTGGCCTCCGGTGCCAACACAACTGATATCTTTACCAAGGCGCTTGCACCTAAAGATCATCAGCGGCACTGTGTACAGCTTGGTCTTGTTCCTGTAGCTACTCACTTGTTAGGACCCTGATTGTGTACTCTCTACTATATATACTTGTCTGACTGGCCTTGTGGCCTTGCCCCCAGTGGCTGGACTAGTAGTGCCGCCCTGGTTTGCTTTAGTCTTGTTTGTACTCTTGCTGACTGGCCTTCGGACCCCTGTCTCAGTGGTTGGACTAGTAGTGCCACCCTGAGTTGTGTGCTTCTTGTTTAGCACCACCCCTTCTCTAGCCTAGGGGGTGTGTCAACTTATACATTTTCTGTATGTAGAAGTTATGGGCTAGTCTAGGTGTGTGCTTCTAGTGAGTACAACCCCAACGGGTACATGTTCTAGGTTTCTCATGCTAGTAATATCATTCTCTCTTTCTAACAGTGGCCCCAAAACCCACAGCAGCACCGTAACCTACCAAGCAGGCCCGAAACCTACCTAGTGGCCCCGAAACCTACCTAGTGGCCCCGAAACCTACCAAGCGGGCCCAAAACCTTTGAAGCGGCCTCCAAACCCACCTAGCGGCCCCGAAACCTATCAAGCGGCCCCGAAACCTACCAAACAGCGCCGAAACCTTCGGAGCGGCCCCAAAACCTTCGAAATGGACCCGGAACCTACCAATCGGCACGGAAACCTACCAATCGGCCCCGAAACCTACCAAGCGGCCCCGAAACCTACCAAGCGGCCCCGAAACCTACCAAGCGGCCCCGAAACCTACCAAGCGGACCCGGAACCTACCAAGCGGCCCCGGAAACTTCCAAGCGGCCCCGGAACCTACCAAGCGGCCCCGGAACCTTCCAAGTGGCCCCGGAACCTACCAAGCGGCCCTGGAACCTACCAAGCGGCCCCGGAACCTACCAAGCGGCCCCGGGACCTACCAAGCGGCCAAAAAACCTACGAAGCGGCCCCGAAACCTACCAAGCAGCGACGAAACCTTTGGAGCGGCCCCGAAACCTACCAATTGGCCCCGAAACCTTCGAAGCGGACCCGGAACCTATGAAGCGGCCCCACAACCTACCAATTGGCCCCGAAACCTACCAAGCGGCCGGGAAACCTACCAAGCGGCACCGAAACCTACCAAGTGGCGCCGAAACCTTCCAAGCGGCCCCGGAACCTTCCAAGCGGCCCCGCAACCTACCAAGCGGCCCCGCAACCTACCAAGCGGCCCCGCAACCTACCAAGCGGACCCGGAACCTACCAAGCGGCCCCGGAACCTACCAAGCGGCCCTGGAACCTACCAAGCGGGCCCTAAACCTACCAAGCGGCCCCGGAACCTACCAAGCGGCCCCGAAACCTACCAATTGGCCACAAAACCTACGAAGCGGCCCCAAAACCTACCATGGCACCTAAACCTTCGAAGCAGCCCTGAAACATACCAAGCATCCCTGAAAGCTACACTGGCGGAAAGTATTGTCCACATGTTTGTGACTTAGAGGAGTTTTGCCATTTTAGGGGGTCATGGACATGAAGCCTTAATCTTTTGGTGTGCCTAGTGTATGTAGGTTGGGGTAAGGCTCTACGCCCATGCCTTACATCTCACAAAGATATTGATGTTTATAACAAATAACAGCAATTACCAATCATGGTACATGTGGACAATTATTGCCAGGCATAAGCAGCAAGTTCCATCAACCCCAAACTAGTACCTAGTCCACCGCCCTTTCGTCTTAATCACCACCCTCACCCTCCTGGGCATGCTTTCCACCAGGTGGGTGCACACATCCGCCGTGATCTTCTCCCATTCCTCCTGCACACTCTCCCAAAGGTCCAGCATACTAGTGGGAGGCTTCTCGTGCTTGGCCAGCTGCCTCTTGAGATGAGCCCATAAATGCTCCATTGGGTTGAGGTCGGGTGAGGAAGACGGCCACTCTAGCACCCCAAAATCTTGCTCTCTAAGCCACTCCTGCACGATACGCGACTTGTGCTTCGGGTCGTTGTCGTGCTGGAAGATAGTTTTCGAGGGTGTAAGCTGGTAAAACTCAATCGTACTATTGAGCTCATCCTGAAATATACTCTGAGAGAGCAGTCCGTCCATCCTACCATATGTTGTGCTCATGAAACCCGCTCCCTTATACGGCATGCAGTCGCAAATCATCAAGCAACCGCCCCCATGTTTGACGGTCTGCTTGATTTGGTGTCTTTGGAGGGCAGTCCCTTCGTGAACGCAGGCGTATGAGAGTCCGTCGGATGCAAAACGACCGATCTTGGTCTCATCCGAACAGATCACTCGCTTCCAGTCGTCAACCGTCCAGTCTGCATGGGCACGGGCCCATTCCAGCCTATTGCGTATGTTTTTCCGAGAGTGTCGCGGCTTCTTGGGATGCTTGATTGCGACAAGTCCACTGCCATTCAAAGAGTTACGCACTGTCTTAGGATGCAACGTGATGTCGTGCTGCTTCTCGACGATCTTCGCCACGTGAGCTGAGATTTTTGCCTCCTCGCTGGTAATCGACCGAACTATGTCGGGCCGGACTCTCTCTGTCACTAAGCGAGGGCGACCGGCTGAGGGCATCGTAGGACGCACGTCATCGCGGCTAGACTCTACAGTCACCTTGATGGACCGAACTCTTCCCTATGCCTAGCTGTTTAGCGATTCGACGATTGATATACCCCCTCCGCAACAAGGGAATGATCTATGCGTAGAGCGCCTCATCTAACGGTTTCATGACGGCGTAATCATCGCAGCGGTCCTAGCCTATCTCCTGACTACTCGAAAGTCGCGAGGGCAAGTAAGTAGAAAAAACGAGGTTAGGAAATAGATCTAGTACGCTGCTTGGCATGAACTGTCCGGATGCACCCACGCGAACCAAATCTCGTCCACTGTAAAAAAACGACCCCTATAAAACAGAAACCCATACCCGTTACACACGATACAGAACTACTTTACAACCAAGGCCAAACTATGAATCGTAACTATACAGAAATTACACCAAAAAGTTGCGTAAACCTTTTTCAGGCAATTATCCGGGCAATACCTTCCGCCAGTGTACCTAGCGGCCCCGGGACCTACGGCCCCGAAACCTACAAAGGGGCCCCGAAACCTTGAAGCGGCTCCAAAACCTACCAAGTGGCTGTCAACTTATACATATTCTGTATGTAGAAGTTATAGGCTAGTCTAGGTGTGTGCTTCTAGTGAGTACAACCCCAACAGGTATATGTTTTAGGTTTCTCATGCTAGTAATATCATTCTCTCTTTCTAACATGGTATCATGAGTAGGCTAGGTCCCTCACGCCCGCCGGCGCTTCCGCCCTAGGCCCTAGCCGCCCTAGTGACCCGTCCCTAGCTGGCCCCCTGGCCGTCGCGCCCATCCCTAGCTGGCCCCCCCTGGCCGTCGCGTCTGCCCCTAGCTGGCCCCCTGGCCGTCGCGTCCACCCTTAGCCGGCCCCCTGGCCATCGCGCCCGCCCCTAGCTGGCCCTCTGGCCGTCGCGTCCGCCCCTAGCCGGCCCCCTGGCCGTCGCATCCGCCCCTAGCCGCCCCCCTGGCCGTCGCGCTCGCCCCTAGCTGGCTTCCTGGCCGTCGCGTCTGCCCTTAGCCGGCCCCCTGGCCATCGCGCCCGCCCTTGCTGGCCCCCTGGCCATCGCGTCCGCCCCTAGCCGCCCCCCTGGCCGTCGCGTCCGCCCCTAGCTGGCCCCCTGGCCATCGCGCCCGTCCCTAGCTCGCCCCCTGGCCGTCGCGCCCGTCCCTAGCCGCCCCCCTGGCCGTCGCGCCCGCCCCTAGTTGGCCCCCTGGCCGTCGCGCCCGCCCCTAGCGGGCCCCCTGGCCGTCGCGTCCGCCCCTAGCCTGCCCCCTGGCCGTCGCGTCCGCCCCTAGCCGGCCCCCTGGCCGTCGCGCCCGCTCCTAGCCGGCCCGCTGGCCGTCGCGTCCGCCCCTAGCCGGTCCCTTGGCCGTCGCGTCCGCCTAGCATGCTTTCATGAAAGCATCTGAGCAGTAGTCCCTGCGCTCAACAGCCCATGCACTTACTCCCCATGAAAAAAAAGGGCTTGGGATATCCTTAGTAGCTGGAAAAATACTCTAGATGTGCTTTCATGGGGCAACGCTAAAGCACTCATTCTTGGGGAAAACGTTGAAATGCCATAACTTCCCAACCATTAAGATTTTGGATCTGAGCAGTAGTCCTTGAGCTTAGCAGCCCATGCAATAACTCCCCATGCAAAAAAAAGGGCTTGGGATATGCTTAGTAGCTGGAAAAGTACTGCTTTCATGGGGCAACGTTCAAGCACTCCTTCTTGGGGCAAAAGTTGAAATGCCATAACTTCCCACCCATTTGGATTTTGGATCTGAGCAGTAGTCCCTGGGCTCTACAGCCCAAGCCCTAACTTCCCATGCAAACAAATGGGCTAGGGATAGGCTTAGCAGCCAGAAAAATACTCAAGTTGTTTTCATGGGGCAACGCCAAGCATTCTTTCTTGGGGCAAAAGCTGAAATGCCATAACTTCCCACCCATTTGGTTTCTGGATCTGAGCAGAATTTACTGGGCTCTGCAGCCCATGCAATAACTCCCCATGCCAAAATATGGGCTTAGGATATCCTTAGTAGCTAGAAAATAACTCTAGATGTGCTCTCATGGGGTAACGCTCAAGCACTCATTCTTGGGGGAAAATTTGAAATGCCATAACTTCCCACCCACTAGGATTTTGGATATGAGCAGTAGTCCCTGTGCTCTACAGCGCATGCAGTTCCTCCCCATGCAAAAAAATGGGCTTTGGATAGGTATAGTCGATGGAAGAAAACTCAAGATGTGCTTTCATGGGGCAACGCTCAAGCATTCCTTCTTGGGGCAAAAGTTGAAATGCCATAACTTCCCACCCATTTGGATTTTGGATCTTAGCAGTAGTCCCTGGGCTCTACGGCCTAGGCACAAGATCCCCATGGTAAAAAATGGGCATAGGATGTGCTTTATAGCTAGAAAAAAACTCTAGATGTGCTTTCATCGGGCAACGCTCAAGCACTCATTCTTGGGGAAAACGTTGAAATGCCATTACTTCCCACCCATTAGGATTTTGGATCTGAGCAGTAGTCCCTGCACTCTACAGCGCATGCACTCACTCCCCATGCAAAATAATGGGCTTGGGATAGGTACCATAGCTGGAAAAAAACTCAGGATGTGCTGTCATGGGGCAACGCTAAAGCACCAATTCTTGGGGCAAAAGTTGAAATGCCATAACTTCCCACCCATTTGAATTTTGCATCTGAGCACTAGTCCCTGGGCTCTACAACCCATCCAATAGCTCTTCATGCAAAAACCATGGGCTTGGGATAGGTACCGTAGCTGGAAAAAAACTCTATATGTGATTTCATGGGGCAACGCTCAAGGACTCATTCTTGGGACAAAAGTTGAAATCCCATAACTTCCCACCCATTTGGATTTTGGATCTGAGCAGTAGTCCTTGGGCTTTACATCCCATGCACTAACTCCCCATGCAATACAATGGGTTTGGGAAATGCTTAATAGCTAGAAAAAAACTCTATATGTGCTTTCATGGTGCAACGCTCAAGCACTCATGCTTGGGGAAAACGTTGAAATGCCATAACTTCCCACCCACTAGGATTGTGGATCTGAGCAGTAGTCCCTGAGCTCTACAGCCTATGCACTAACTCCCTATGCAAAAAAATGGACTAGGGATAGGCACAGTAGCTGGAAAATATCTCTAGAGGTGCTTTCATGGGGCAACGCTCAAGCGATCCTTGAGGCAAAACTTGAGATGCCATTACTTCCCACTTATTTGGATTGTGGATATGAGTAATAGTCCATGGGTTCTACAGCCCATGCACTAAATCCCCATGCAAAAAAATGGGCATGGATATGCTTAGTAGCTGGAAAACTCTAGATGCTCTTTCTTGGGACAACGCTCAAGCACTCATACTTGGGGAAAACGTTGAAATGCCATAACTTCCCACCCATTTGGATTTTGGATCTGAGCTGAAGTCCATGTAGTAACTCCCAATCCAAAAAAAATAGCTTGGGATAGGTTTAGTCGCTGGAAAAATACTCAAGATGTGCTTTTATGGGGCAACGCTGAAGCACTCATTCTTGGGGGAAAAGTTGAAATGACAGAAATTCCCAACTATTTGGGTTTTGGATCTGAGCAGTAGTCCCTGGGCTCTACAAACCATGCACAAAGTCCCCATGCTATTAAATGGGTTGGAAAAAAGTATCTGGAAAAAAGGTCAAGCTGTGCTTTCATGTGGCAACGCTCAAGCACTCATTATTGGAGGAAATGTTGAAATGCCATAACTTCCCACCCATTTGGATTTTGGAACTGAGCACTACCCCTTGGGCTCTACAGCCCATGCACTAACTCACCATGTAAAACAAGGGGCTTGGGTTAGGTACAGTAGCTGGAAAAAAACTCAAGATGTGCCTTCATGGGGCAACGCTCAAGCACTCATTCTTGGGGAAAAAGATGAAATGCCATAACTTCCCACGCATTTGGATTTTGGACCTGAGCAGTAGTGCCTAGGCTCTACAGCCCATGCACAAAATCCTCAAGCTAAAAAACGGGCTTGGAGATATGCATAGTAGCTAGAAGAAAACTCAAGATGTGCTTTCATGGGGCAAAGCTCCAGCACTAATTCTAAGGCAAAACGTTGAAATGCCATAACTTCCCACCCATCTGATTTTGGATCTGAGCAGTAGTCCCTGTGCCCTGCAACCCATGCACTATCTCCCCACGCAATAACATGGGCCTGGGATAGTCTTAGTAGCTGGAAAAAACTATAGATGTGCTTGAGCAGTATTCCAGGGGCTCTAAAGCCCATGCACTAACTCCCCATGCAAAAAAATGGGCTTGGGATAGGCTTTGTAGCTGGAAAAAAACTCAAGATGTGCTTTCATGGGGAAACCTCAAGCACTCCTTCTTGGGGCAAAAGGTGAACTGCTATACTTTCCCACCCATTTAGATTTTGGATCTAAGCAGTAGTCCCTAGGCTCTACAGCCCATGCACTAACTTCTCATGCAAAACAATGGGCTTAGGATATGCTTAGTAGCTGGAAAAAAAACGTTAGGTGTTCTTTCATGGTGTAACGCTCAAGCACTGCTTGGGGAAACGTTGAAATGCCATAACTTCCCACCCATTATGATTTTGGATCTGAGCAGTAGTCCCTGTGCTCGACAACCCATGCACTAACTCCCCATGCAAAACAATGGGCTTGGGATAAGCTCAGTAGCTGGAAAAAAACTCTAGATGTGCTTTCATGGGGCAACGCTCAAGCACTCCTTAGGGCAAAAGTTGAAATGCCATAACTTCCCACCTATTTGGATTTTAGATCTGAGCAGTAGTACCTGGGCTCTACAGCCCATGCACTATCTCCCCATGCAAAAACATGGGCTTGGGATAGGCTTAGTAGCTGAAAAAAACTCTAGATGTGCTTTCATGGGGCAACACCCTAGCACTCATTCTTGGAGGAAACGTTGAAATCACATTACTTCCCAACTATTTGGGTCTAGAATCAGAGCAGTAATCCCTAGGCTTTACGATTCATCCACAAAATTCCCATGCTATATAATGGGCTTGGGATATGCTTTGTAGCTGGAAACAAACTCTAGATGTGCTTTTATGGGGCAACGCTCAAGCACTCCTTCTTGGGGCAAAAAATAATTGCCATAACTTCC